ATAAAATACAATTAAGGTCACGTGAAATATGCAAAAAATGATAAAATTGCCTCAAAAGTGCGATGCATGTGTTATGCAAAATTATAGTGCATAAATGTGAAATTATGCAAATGCACGAATCTGTGAGCTCTAATTACCAGGTGTAGTTGTTAAAAAATACCATTATGGCCTATATTCTCGCTATTTGTAGCAGCCTTTACCTAATTCTGAAGAAATTACAACTTATTTTCCTATTCGAGTGAAACAAACAATCAAAGTAACGCTTAATAACTTTGAATTTACTGTTACAGTAGTTGTTGGCAATAAAAACAATAATATCTTTTTACCAGGTTATGTGTGCCAATGTAATGATATTATAAGAATCGCAAATGATCTAACTAATACTATTTCTGAAGTTTATTCAAAAATTTTTAGAATAAAAACTTGCTATTCTGGTCTATTAATAATGGGATGGAATGATGAAAATATAATAAATCAATTGAGTGAAGACGTTTCTTTTACTCCTTGTTCCTTTTTACTTGAAAAAATAAAAGTATTTGTATATGGAGTAGAATATTCAACGAATATGAATTGGAATTATGTTAAACTGGGATATAAATCTTTGCTTATTCATAAATTTGAAAATAAACATGCGTTGTTTATTTCTAAAATTGAAGAAACTTTATGTATTATTGAAGTTTATCAAGATCAAAAACTTCAAATCACATTCACAGATGAAAATTTAGTTGACGTGTGGAAAAATTTAAACTTTACAAAAAAATTCAATGGGATTCAACTTTTTGGTATTGACAACCATACAATAAAATCTCTAAATCAAAGCAAAAAAGACCAACATGTTCGCCTCAAGAATGGAAAGATGACTTTATTATGAAATCACTTTTTGATTTTCATTTAAGATAAAGAACAATTGTGAATATTAATTGGTATCAGTTATTTATAAAATGGAATGAACAAGAAAGTCATCTAATTGAACTAAATAATGAATTACATAATATATATCCTAAAAATCATCAATTCAGTATTCGGAAAATAAGAACATAGCATGCCTTTCTTTATGCTGCTGGTGCCAATAATGTGACTCCTTGGTCACGTGAAGAACAGGTATTATTGAGTGACTCCAATATAATTTATTTTTTTGATTAAAACAAATCTTGTAAAATTCTACAAAAATAAACATTTATTTTTTAGTATCAATTTTGGTCAAAATCAAACAATCTAGAATAAGATCATGCATTACTTATCCAATTATATCAAATAAAACTTCTTGTTAAGGATATTTTAACTTCTACTAAAGATTCAACTTCAACATTTTGGCAATGCTTTAATCATGTATTGGAGAATAATAAAAGGAATCGTGATGGAAAACCCGTATATTATCAATTATTGCAGATGACTTTACTTATAAAGAATTGCAAGAAAATTTAGATGTAAGTAATTGTAATGCATCATCAAAATAATTTACCAAAATAATTCTATAATTTTCTATAAAGGTTGGACGACATACCATTTTAGAATCACGTAAACATGCACGAATAAGTGGTTATAGCATGCCTCTACTGGATAAACTAAGTTTTTGCCGAATGAAATTTATCACTGAACAGTTGCAACAATTTGAATTATTTTTTTCTACAAAAGAACACGTCAATATGAGTTCTTATAAAACTGATAATATAAGTGAATTGCCTGTACTTTACTTACAAGACCATAAAAAAGCTCTATAGAATAAATTTCATGAACAATATTCTAATGGAATGCAAAAAATATCATTTATAACAAGATTAGATGGTAAACGCTTTATATATAAAGAAAATCTAGGTGGACTTTGTTCAGAATGCAATGAGTGTGGATATCAAGTATTTGCAAGTATTGAAGAACTAATAAATGTCAATATTACAAACTTGGTATTTCGGGTAAGGTCTTGATAATTCAAAAATCTATCAATTCAATATTATTCTTATTCTAACTAATTTATTTTTTATTATAGAATGAATTAGTTGCTACTGCTCAAAATTTACGATGTATCTTAGAAAAGATTATCCAAAAAAAATTGAATATAACAAAAGATGGAATTGCAGTACATAATTCCTGTATATTATATTGCCTTCTATATGCATTTGGTAATTGTCAAGAAATGCATTTTAACACTTGCGTGGATTGTGAAAGACTCTTTATTTTTTTCAAAAATTTAAAGAATCATTTACGTATTAATCCTAAAAAAGCAAGAAAAACAAAGGATGAATAGTTTGATAAACGTGGATGGACTTTGCATTCTGTTTTATTATATATTAAAAATCAAAATACCAACAATTTCAATATCAATGCTTTTGATCACTAGAGTGGAAACACCAAGCAAGATACTTGGTTTACAGCATCATCTCTACATAGTGTAATTGAAATACTTGAAATGAAACCTAAATTTGTAACCATTATATCTGATAATGGTAGACATTATCATAATATAAAATTGATGATAATATTATCACATTGGAAAGAATGGTATGATATTTGCGTTGAAAAATAGATTTTTTTAGAAGCTAGCGAGGCAAAAACTGCAATAGACTCACATCATGCTCTAGTAAGTAATTTGCTTTACCTTTTTTATGGCTTATATTGTAATGTAATCAAAATTTTTTTTTTGAGATTACCCATGCTATCAACCAGCATGTTAAACTTGGTTATGATATTGCTTCTGGTAATAACATTGAGATGGCAATCAAAGATCTATCTGGTACTCATGTGGCAAACCTTCAACCTAACTGGAAGCAAGGCAAATACTATATATCATGTAATATATTGCATGATAATACTA